AGATCACTTGTCTGTTAACATGTCTACTAACAAACTATAGAAAGTAGTTCATTCTTGTGGGGGTCTGCTCTTTCCTATGCATGGCCGGCACATCTAACCTCACTCTATCTGTGCGTTCGTATGCATCCACTGCCAACAGATGTCAGTTCAGGTTAAACACGCGTCACGTAGCTTTAGTTCTCTTTCTGAAGATAAGTACACATGTCACATTACTCTTTACTGCCATCTGTCTGTTCTACTGAAAACTGAATCGGACTGACAAAGAAACAAAACATCCCGTCCATTACAATTATCAAACTGTGGTCCTCGATCCAGTTGAAGTTAATGGAGGGCAGATAAAACAAAATTGTTTATGTATTAGTCGAGACGTTTTGGAACATAATTATATTTCGAAATTGTAAACATAAATGATTAAAGATGAAATATAATAAACGTCATCTCTCTCCGTAGAATCATGCGGGCGGGCAGATAACTGTACGTATCCTAAAATTCAGTTTTGGTGAGCTTGGCGCTTCGGGAACACTCACCCCGCGGTAAGAGCCAGGCTTCGCGCGTCCCCGAGCCGGTCTGTTGGTGGTTACTTCGGTAAAATTTCTCTGCGTGAAGGTTCACAGACATGTTGGACAGATTTTTTGCAAAGCGTTCTCAGTGCTCGTGTTTGCGCGTTTTATCAGCAATTCTAAAAACAAGATTCCATTGAAGTCTTGGTGGACACGCACTTTCCTATAAAACGGCCGCTTTTTTTTAAGCGTTTTTCGATTTGCCCAGGCAAATACTCGAACCGCACTCCGCGTCCTGCTTTTGACTTGCCTGATACACATTTACTTTGAGATCTTATTTAGATGTAACATGTTTTATAGGTGACCAAACCATTTTACTGGTTGGTGCAGTCTTCCTTGTGCAGCTAATAAACACTGCCCTTGAAATCATTTTCTGAAGGTTCAGACATCTTGCATGGGACCCAACCGCAAACCATATTTGTGCAGTCACGTTCATATTCCCCACAGCCTTTCGGGATGATCACAGCCATGCTTCCGATGTGCTTATTCGTGAAGTTTCCCGGCCAAAATTTGTATGTTTTTGTAGTTTCCCCATCCGAGGGATCTGCTCCATATATCACATTCTCTGTAATCACAATGTTTCACTAGGTGAAGAAAGAATATTATGAATGTTAGTTGATGCAGTGTCGTTGAACTACAACTACAACGATACGACATAAGGATGACAAATCCTGAACAGTTTTAATATTTTTAATATTTAAAATTTATCAATATGTATGACGAATATATATTTTAGTTATTTTAGTATAAAGACAACAGGGCATGCAATGAAGTAGTTCAACGTACATCGAAAAGCACCTGAAGATGGCACTTTAGTGCCGAAACATGTAGTGCAAGAGGGAAGAGTAAGGTGAATAAATGTATGCACTGTAAGACAGTCAGAATAAATAATGGATTCGAAAAACGTTGACCATTCTATGCGTAAATAAATTAAAAATTATTATTTTCATCGTTAGTATTCAAATTCTGCCTTGTGCTTACATTCCAATATGGTAGAGTGTGTTATACCGTTGATTGGTTAAAAACTCGGATCTCTTTAAGCAATCGCTTGCTGACAGATGGCACCAGCATCACGGACAAGTTATTGCAAATGCATTGCTTATGCATTTAGCAGAACTCTTAACGTAAATTAGGTAAAAACAAAACCGGCATTGTACACAATCCCGAGCCACTTAAATAAATTTCTGACTCTGGTAACTTTATTCCATTTCAATATGACTAGTCATTTCCTATGACTGCTTGAAGTAGCCACTCTTGAAGAAGTTTCCCCACAAAATTCTATAAGAACATCCTGTTTCCCACTTCCAGGAGACACGGCGTACGGCACAAAGACACGAGTTCTGTAACTTCCTTCGTCCCGAATTTGAGCTCATTCAGTAGAAAATATTATTCCTGGACATTTTTGTCCCACAGTAAATATATTAATATCGGTATAATATAGGCCTATGGATGGCTTATTAGCTGTGATTACAAATCCTTTCAGTAAGGCGAGAAGTCTACATTTATGTTACTGCTTCTCTGTTCCCGAAGCTATATCCCCCATACTGATTCCATTCGCTTGAACTGTGTGTAACTTCAAATCTGTGACAGTAATTTGGCAATGAATTAACGGCAGATCATTTTGTCGCAACAAACATCAAATGCCGATATTTATCTAAATTTATTATTACCAAACAAAACAAATCATGGACATTGTGGGGAAAATTAGGCCTACCTGAGCCGCAGGCAGTTAGCCAGGAGGGATAATTTCGTGGGAGTTTTCGATTTCATTTACTTACGGGAGTGTTAGTGCAATGAATGAAAAGTCTCAACCCGCGTGTTTTTAAAATATGGATACTTATATGTATCATATAGCGTATTTTATAGCACAGTTAAATGACTGGTTAATATTTATGACCACGCCTATTTTAAGGAGGTTCATGGAAATTCATGGTTTCGTTGACTCGGATAAATATTAATGGTGTGTGTTGTGATGTGAGTACTCAGTGGCAACGACTCCATAAGTGTTAGTGATAGTGTTATCAAGTGAAAGTGTAGTGACATCAGCGGCAGCAACAGTCCGTGTACTACAGCAGTACCTATCTGAAGCAGGGCTTCGAACCTGGGATCAAGGGAAGAGGAGCTCCGCGCCAACCGTAAGGTTAAAACCAAAACAGTGCCGTTTCGGAACCTTTAGCGGTGGAGGGCCCATCCTCCGGAGGATTGGCTGGGTACTTGCAGTAAATCAAGTATGCCAAAGCATCGACGCGGTCTTATCATGTCAGTCCGGCCCCAGGCTGGTCATGATAATAACATAGTACCGTGCCAGGCAATTCTGTATTTACTGCGGTAGCCGCCATGACTCGGGCTTAGGTTAAGGTCGAGTTGGACACCCGTGAATGTGATATTTTTTAAATTAGTTTGTAAGTTGTTTGTCTTCCCGCCCTCCCCGTTAGGTGCCCAAGATAGGATTTCTGGTTAGGCTGCTTGAAGTTAGGCTTTTGTGTCCAGTTAGCCCTTGTAGGCACAATGCACGTGTTTCTGTGTGTTTTTTTATTCCACAGGGTGACAACTTGACAGAGTTCGGTCGGCACGACAATGAAATCAGTGCGAGAGGGAAAGAGAGGAGAAAAGAACTTTTTCAGGCTTTCCCAATGAATAACTCGCACTGCAGGCATTGCCCGAACAGACGTAAAGCGTAACGCTTCCTTGGCTGCTCTTTCACGTCGGCGGTGAAAGATAAATGGCTTGAGTGTGTAAGGACGCAAGTAATTACTACACATTAAATTGGTTTTGATTAACATGCAGTGAATCTGTGTTTTGAAGCTGGCAGAACATAATTTAGCACGTATAGGAATTGTCAAATATATGCATTTTATTGCCACTGAAGAAATCAGTGCACAGGCCTAGTATTGACTTCGCATTTAACGAAAGTGAGAGCTGAAATGAGTTTATTAGACATGGGTAGGTCTGTCACTGGCCGCCAGGCTTCGTGGCAGTAGCGATATTTAATGCGGCAACAGATTTCAAATGTTTCTTCGTTCGTTGATGCTCGTATTTATGTAGCGTGAATGCTTTCGCTTTCCAATGCTTGTCCGTTCTCCATTGTGACCAATATCCCCACAATTTTATATTTTCCCTTTGAAGAAATCCTACCTTTCCAAACGATAACAATTTAGACGCAGAGATTTCGATGTAAATTTTTAGCGGGAAACATTTAGGGCCTAGTAAGAACCGCCGCAGGTTACACCTAAACAGAAACACATCCCATCCCTTCCCCCTCGACAAGCAAGGAGCAGTATCAACTGAACAAGCCTCGTACGTTATGATTTGATTTCCATGCTGAAAGAAATGTTGTTTCAAGGCGAAACGCTTACATTTTGAATTAAACTGAAGAAGACGCGTTTTACCAGAAGAGTAACCAACACTGATTACGAAAATGAGATGTTTTTCCTTCGTTATGACCTGTATTTCCGTCCTGCTGTATTTGTTGCGCTAATCAATAAAAAGAGACGGCAGAGACGTCAGAACGTACGGAGGCACGCGTACACGGTACACGGACAGGAACGTTTGTGCGTGGCGTGTTCATGCGAGAAATATACATTTAAATTCAACTTCATGTAAGAAGATAAATCGTCAAGAAATGAATGAATACAAGGAACACGGGTAAGTGTCCAGCCTCTACTTCTTGCTGCTTTTATACTCGTAAGTGCTGTCTTTGTTGTCCGTGTTTTGTTTTGTCTGTTTCAGGTCCCCGCTCATATCCTGTGCCTCACCGTGGCGAGCGGGTGAAACAAAGAACGGTGCACTCCTGATAGATTGCTACTGTTGCACTATACCTTATGTAGCCTATTAAATACGCACGATTATAGGCCTAATATTTGATTTGGCTTTGTTTTGATTAAATTTAACGTTTAGAACCATTACTAAAATACGTAGTTTATTTTTAACCCGAATTGAATATCGTGGAATTTATTATAAAAACAAGTTCAGCTTTATATTATGACGATAAGTATGAAGGGGGAAAGCAAGGGAAATCATTTTTTGAAATGTGGGAGAGTGCGATTAGATGTCCTTAGCGCCCTGTTTCATATTTCAAAAACCAATTGTAATTAGTCTGATTTGGCCATGAATAGTAGGCATGATTCTGGCCTTATTTTTTTTTCGTTATCATGCAAATGGAGAGAAACCCCAAAATTTTAATATATGGTCCGTACCCTTATACAGGGGGGCCAGGAGAACGCAGTCGGTATAGCGACTGGTACGGGCTTAGACCGCCAAGGGGGCGCACTTCGAGTCCCGGCAGGAGCAAGATTGTTCTCCCTCGCCCTGTCGTCTTTTTCGGTTTTGGGGGCCTACCCAGCCTCCTATTCAATGGGTACCGCGGGGATTTTCCCCAGGGGTAAATCGGCCGGGCAGTGAACCTGACCACTCTCCTGCAACTAGTGCTGATGTCAAGAATACATGGATCTGTACATCCACTCTCCTATACACTTTCGTGGTGTAGTGTTTAATTAGTTAAGCTCAGTTAAATCATTACCATACCTTACATTTATACGGGAAACATTTTACCAGTTGCTCAGATTATTGGAAAAGACTTGGCATATTTCATTCTAGTGAAAATGTAAACAAAGGCTTCCTTCCTTTAACAAAAAGGTGGCCTATGCATATGGAGCGTTCCAGAACGATCAGATTACAGGAATGCATCATTCTTTGGCTAAACAGGATAAGAATATTACTTTGTAATTACAATCATCCTTCACAGCTTTCCAAGAGCCCTCCATATTCAACTGCTGATAAAAAGATCTCCCTTATGGAACATGAGGGCTCATGACTTTCACTTTCAGGAGTGAAACAGGTACTGAATTGCATGTTCTGACCACTTTTTCTCATTCATTCATTCATTCATCAGTAATCTGTCAGATGACAGGTCCACAGTCTCTTCCAAAACAGTTCCTCCACTTAATGTGATCTAGAGCTTCCTCTTCTGTCCTCAAGGTCATCCAGCATCTTCTTTTTCTCATTATCGGGTGGAAAATTGAACATAACAGTATTTGTGGCATAGGAATTTGAGGTTCCGACAGTAGCGACTGCGAAGTATTGTATGACCTGCAATACAATGCTACAACGTTGTGTAATCCCTTGAAAATTCAATAAACGTCTCGGAGGAACATGGCACTTCCACATTCAAAGTTGAAGAAGAAGCTAAGTGAGAAATCAGCTCTGCTGCCTGCTTCATTCTCATATCAAGCTTGGCTTGTTCTTTGAGTCTGAAGATGGGGCCATATGTTTTTCCAAAACTTCGTTTGATTTTCAACAAGACTACACAGCGTTGAACCCAGAAGATAGACGCCTTCAACAATAATGATGTGGGCCTGTTACTGAATCTTGCACATCATTATATATAACTTTGTAAACATGGATCCCTCATAATGAAGCAATACACTGTGTAACGTTGTAAACATTTTGCATATAAAAATTTAGATGAATACATTTAAAAATATAATTGTAATTGTTGTTTAAAACACTTTGACCCTCTGTATGCTTTTGTAGGTTGTGGACAAAAATACCAAAGAAGAAGACAGCAAACTGATTCTGCACACAGCATCACTTCAAGAGGGAATGTACCTCAAACAGTATAGCAACAAGGTTACAGCAGACACTTTCCTCTTCTCTGCAGTGTGCAGGTTATCGTTGAGACCCACAGCCTCCTACGTAATGGGTACCAGGATATGAAGCTGACCACTCACACTTCATCTAGAGGCAATACTAAGAATGTATGGAGGTTTACATCCATAGAGCTTCTTGATGTGGTGTGTAATTAACCTCACAGACAGCCTTACCCGTATCTTTATACAATACAGTCTACATAAACCCATTCCCTCAGATAACAGATGGCTTTCACACAAATTCTGTTCATAGGATTTTGCAGTCAGGGTATAATGTGTAATTTTTGATTTCAGGGTTTTGCCATGGCAATGCCATGTAGATGTGTGAATTAACTCACATGAACTACATTAGTTCAGCAAATGGTTACCTCCACAAGGATATAGCCACTCCTTCTTCAAGACCTACATATTGATCCACTCATCTGCCTCATTCGCCCTGAAGATGAAGAGCACACTGCAAACTGGAAGTACACATATGGATCCTGCTTCTGGCGATTGCATTGCTGATGTTCTGGAGCTACTGTCACCAGTGTGTGACACTGTTACAAGGGAATCTTCAAGAAGTATACAGAACATCTTGTGCACAATAAAGATTTTCAAATAACAAAGGAAGTCCTTGATATCTACAAGACTGAACACAGTGAAAGTCAACCCTCTCCACAAATCAGGGTACACCATACCTTGTGCTGGCAACCCATTTTGTAAATATGTTTTGATTTCCCACCAATGTATGAATGCCAGAAATATGTTGTTGCAAATAGACTCTATTAAATTTCTAATGATGTAATAGGCTGTGACACTGATGGTGACCCTCATTCAGTAGCAAATGAAGTAGATGAGAGATGACAACCAAACAAGTTGGCTCAAGCCATAACACTGACTATCCTGACTGAGAATGTTCAGTTTTTCCATGGACCCTTTCAGGTGAATGCCGAGATGGTGCCTCAAATTAGACCACAGCCATTTCCTTCCACATCCCATCCAATTCACTGGTTACCCTAGCATTTGACACTATATTGTCTCATCTACTGAGAGAAATTAAATAAATAAATATAAAGGCCAATGATGTATTTTATTTATTCTGTGGTGTTACTATAAGTCATAGAAGGTGACAAAATGCCTGGGGGCATAACTGGGGCATCCTGTCTCAGGGGGCATGAATCCAGGGACCTGGCCCTCTAGGTTGTGGGTTGGATGTAAGGCTGATAACACGCTCTGTAAAAAAAGTATTGTTGTGAAATCCAAATTGAAAACTGGATGCAATCTGGCAGAATCTTCTAAGGATGGTCATGGCTCAAAAAGGGGCTGTTCTGTCAATGATAACGATGATTCTGTGAGGTAATGGTCTAATTTAGATAGACCATACCCATGCAACATCAGGTTACTCCACGTATAAAGACAGACTGAAAGGGAAACTGGATCCATTGAATTCTGTTGCATGAGAAATTGTGTCTTTTCCATATTATGAGTGGGTTCATGCTTATTGTTCTCTCCCAACATCATGGGCTTCTGAGAACTAAGAGGATGCTCTAGATGAGTAGAAAATCCCGTGGAATGGCATTACAATGTAGGCTCATAACTTAGCTCCTACTTGTATTGTCGGGCAGAGTGGCTGGAGTGTAAGGCTGACAGCCCTATTGCCATCTGTGAGCCGACTGTCTAGAAGATTTGAAAGCCTCAACCTCTCTCACCCCTAAGGGCCTTCAAGGCCTGTTACAGGGATAGCTTTCTTGTTATTGCTAATTTCCACACTTTACAAATCACTACAGCACACAATAAGTCTGTTCAGTCTGCTATGTCTTCGCCAGCCGTTCCTTGGTAACGGCTGCTAACAGTGGGAACTCAACTGCCCTGACTCGCTTGCAACTGATAAGTGACAACTTCTAAACTTGTCTCAGCTATAATTTTTCAGCACAGACTGTACAAAACACCTTTCATTGTTGTACTCCAATCTGTGGGAATGCATTTCTGTGTGAAGGCATTACACGGCAATGGCTGCATATATGTACATGCTGTGATGTCACTCGCGAGACCGCAGAGTTCACGTGACCCCTACTTCCTGTTGCGCCATCCACGTCACACTATACGTGACAATACTTATTCAGAATCTGTTGCCCAGCAGTGAATTTCGTTTCCTTGCTTGTTTTGAGGTCACTGTCCAGTAACTGCTCCACAAGCTACAATATCAAGTGTTACAATTAATGAATGATGGTATGGAAAGGAAATGGGCATGGTCTAATTTCAGGTGTAATCCCAGCTTTATCTGAAGGGACTGAGGAAGACTTCAAAAAACCTCACAATCAGTGACCCAGCTGGGATTCGAACACAGTCTGGAATGTTGCCCTCTTGAACACCTTGCTCAATTGCATGGCCAGAAAACACGTTTGCTGTCTCAAGTAATGTTAATATGAGGACACTGGTCATAACGTTCCAGACTTGTATTTGGGAGTGTGCTCAATTTGAATCTCAGTTGTGAGGCTTTTTGTGGTGTTTTCCTCAGTCCTGCCAAGGAAATGCCGTTTAGTACCTTCATTAACTTTGAGTTTCCTTATAAATCCTTTCCAATACAGCATTTACCACTCAGCCTACTGCCTGACACTAAATATTCTCGTTATTGGCTATCGTTAATTTACCAATAAAAAGAAAGTAATCCTTATCACTGTTGAAAGCCTTCTGCCATGGATTTTCGAATTTTCCCCCTGCATTAGGATCACAGATGATTACATGTCATGAACTTCGCTCTTCATAATCTTTGACATCTCTTCTAGTAGTGTATTAAGAGGAACAATAGATGGCAGGAGGATTACTTTAATGCTATATTATTTTAATTATGCACAAATTAATTTGTAGCTTGTAGGAGCATCTTCTCATCTTCTTCTAGTCCTGTTGTTTCCACTTGGAGCATAGGGCATCCACGAAATGCCTTGTTTCACATCAGTTTTTTAATTTAAGACAGTTGGTAGTTTTCTGGATATGACACCATAGTCTTGCAGGTGAATGCTAAAATTTTGGAAGAACATGCTGCCTCCATCTTCAGGGTTGAGGATGACAGCATATTGCTATGAAAAGAGAATAAATTTGTCAACTCTTATTCTTTTGTCATTAGAGGAAATCCAGGTGTTTGTCTTGTGATAGGTTAATAGTTGAGTAGTATTTTAACATGATCTAATGTCAAGAAAGTTGGCAAGTTGTTTATACCTCATTATTGGGAGCTCAGTTTGAATCTCAGCCTGGACACGCACTATCATGACTGCTTGCTTTCACATTCTTCCAATTCATTATTCACTGAGGATCCCACCATTTTGATGTTACATATTTTGAACTACTTACAGTCATTAAATAAACCATATATAAAAAACATGATCCATGTAGCTTTGTTTATGTGGAGAAATTTCTTTTGGATTGGGTTTGTGTTCAGTTTTTATTTCTAAAATATTTTCTATTTCTTTTGTGGGCCAATAAAGCATACCTTGTTGCACTGTCCAATTAATTTAATCTGTGTTTTATCATTTTTGTCTTTCTGTCTCATTGTACAGATTATCAACCATAAAAGTTTTACTTTAATCCTCAAAGAATTAGACTTGAATGACATTTTAAAAACTTAAAGACTCTTTTGTATACAGTTTCGTAAAGTCTGTTATAGCCTCCATACAAGGAAGTTGAAATGTTACACCTTCAGTTGGCGTAAATTCTGTTGAAATATCAGCAGCATCACACTTGGTTACAGTGTACTTACTTTGCTGTGATTCATCTTGCACATTTCAGAACACTTTCCAAATCATGATTTCACTGAATATACACGCTGTGAACTTGGAAAGTTCTGGGAAGGCAAAACATGATGAAATAACAATATGCTACCTGAAGGCACCCCATGAACACTCCTCAACAAATGCTAACTAAATTAACTTCCACTGCCAGTTACTAATCGCATCTTCTACTTCTCTTTGTAACTTCCAACTCTGTTGATGTACATAACAAAACAGTCAGCCTTAGTTTGTTTATGTGCAGAAGAAACCCCCATAAAGTTCCTTTGGAGAACAATGGATTTCAACAATGAACTGAGGAAAATCTTAAATGGGGGAAACTGATCACTGAAATTATCTGATTTTGGGATCATTGTAACTGAGCATAAATGAGCGAAAACCTTAAATTGAGGAACAATAAACATAGGTTCCACTGTACAAAAACTTAAGACATATTGGTATTTACTTTAAGTTACAAGAGGTTTCCATGAATAACATAAAAAGATGTATGAACAATTTTAATTTACAACTATTTACAACAGGACATGCATTTACTTCAGTCTTGTTATTCAGTTCAAATACAAGCAAGTGCCAACACTGTTCAAAATGCATAAACGTGTGGAGTTCCCACTCTGGCTGATTTTTATTAAATTTCATATTGCCTGAAAAGTATGTACAGCCTTCTGGGCTATAACACCGTGTATAGTACAGATCCACTGACATTTCAAAGAATGTATCAGCTCCATCTGTAAGGTTGATGAGTAAGCCGAGTGCAAGATCAGCAACAAGTGGGTGGCAAATAGATCAGTCCATAAGCACGAAAAGTTTCCATTCTGGCTTAAATATATAAAATTTAACACTGCCTGAAGATGGCTCTGCTTGCTGGTTTCCTGCTAAGTTTACTCTTTCACCCTGAAGCTGGAGGCGATACATTCCTCTGAAAAGGTTGAATTTATATGGAACTATATATTCTTCCCTGCTGTGATGAGTTCAGGTACTTAATATTGCCTGTTTCTAGCCTATTGTGAAAATACTGTTCAGGCTTACATGTGGAAAAACTAAAGAAAATCTTTCCCCAGAAGGATGCCTCTCAGTCTATATCAAACCCCACACCTTCCAAATGTGTGGCTGCAATCCATGAAAAGATCCAAATTTTGGGGTTCTAATAAAGGAAAGCCAAAAATACAGCTTCTGAATGATGTATACACCAATATCAAGTTACCATCAGGGTGGATGTGGTTATATTTTGACATCCCCAAGTACAAAATCCTGTGCTTCATTCGAAGCGTAGGATTGCTGAGGGGATAATCAGAAGGGGAGGCATAATAGAGCACTGTGGTCATGGTGCAAGGGCCAAGAAGGCCCACCCCTTATACGTTCATTCATTCATTCATTCATTCATTCATATGATCAGGGTCCTAACAACAGCGAGACTAAAGATTCCCGATGGCAGAAGAAATTAAAATTATGGTCTTCAGAGATGTGATGCCTTGCAGACTGGTACATGGGTACTAAAGTTTGGGAGGAACCTGCTATCTCCATCTTCCTATGCTTCTGATGTGGTTTACCAAATCACTGGTACCCATGCACCAAATGACAGGACATCACATCCCAGAAAGCCACAATATTAATATTCCCAACAGATGTTCTTTCTTAATTCCTTCTTGCCCTTGGTCCTGCTGTGTTTCTAGCCGAGTTGTCGCAATGAGATCGCCACAAGCTGGACTTGTCTTTGCAGAATTCTTCACAGTTGATTGGTAGCCTCTGTTATGATTCTGACGTAACGTTACCAACCCACCATAACTTCAGACATGTCTCCTGACAGCTGCTGTCCACTGAGGAGTCAGATTCTGATCCTGAACAGGATATGTGGCGCTGTCCTGATGCCGTGGCTAGGATCGGATATTGCTGATGAATGCTGCAATCATACAAATCATACCTCTGACTTAGAAGAGACAACCGTACTGTGCTTATGTAATACTGAATGCCAGGATTAGGAAGGAAGTGATTATGGCCTCTCTGATGTACTATTCAAGCACTTGCATGAGTAACCGAGGAAGATGAAAAACCTTTAAGGACCCCTGATCTCTGGGCCAAGATGTGAACTCAGACCTCCTGAGTATGAGTCACAAGTGTCAACCAGGACTGCAATATCCAGAAGCTGTGTTTGCTAATATTAACAAGAGGTTCTGGGAAGAACTAATCACCTACTTTCGTTTGATTTGACAGGGACTACATATAAAGCAAAGATGGGGTGGGGATACACAGACAGTAATATGATCTCGTAAAGCTTTTATTTTTTCCAAAATAAGGAAAGTAGGTTAAAAACGGTAAAGCTGTCCCCATGCTTAATTTAGCACTGTGTCATGAAGTTGTACAGTGGAGTTGACTGCAACTTGTGAGAACAGGGAACTGCAACTGGATTAAGAATACGCCAGAAGGAATATACTGTCAGAGCAACAGGACAATAAATAGATTTGTTCACAACGTTAGAACCTTTCTCACAGAGCATAAATGGCCCTAATCCTCTGAAGACTTCTTTAAATGGCACCTTGATTGCCTTTGCAGTAGTCCCTGCTGCTGCAGTTTGGTTACTGAATGTGTCTTAACTTTAGAACTTCTTGGGTTTATATCAATATATAAAATGAATTCCATGGTCAACGGAAAACTCGAGAAGAGCACAATACTGCCATCTGTTGTGATGAAATAAAATCTTAGCAGACACTAAAAGTAAACTTGAAGCTGTTTCAGAGACATGGTATGACTGTTTGAGAGAGCAGCCAACCACATGCTGTAGATGTCCAAGAGTAGGTTACGTTACATCAATGAAAATGATAATTACTGCTGTCTGGACTGTGATCCTGTACAGCCTGGTAAAGTTGACTGATGTTTCAGAGGAACATACTGCCACCATCTTCAAGGAAAAAAGTAAGCTAAACAAGCAAAAAGATTGCATGGCATCATATCCTAGAAGACCTATTCTTCTTAACAGCCGGCTGTTACAACTCAAAGCATCAAACAGCGCTGAAGAGTTAGAAACAGCCCTACATCATATTCTGGAGGTCACAGTTTCACATCTATCTGCTCAGAGACTAGCTCTCCTGAGTTTTCATGGCGTTCCTCAGTCCCTCCAAGAAAATGCTGGAACTGCACTTCTAATTAGGCAATGACTAGCTCCTGTAACATTCTTTACAATTCACTGTTAAACAGACAGCGCAATGACCTTACCTTATACCATTCACGCAGTCGTTGTGAGCACAGAAAGTTGTGTATGGAGAAAGAACTGGTTCCTCTGCATTTACTTTTGAAATGTCCAACATATCCCAGACACTAACACTGCCATTTGTGTTACCTGCAAGGAAACAGGGTATGGTGAAACTGCAGTACAGCTGCTAGCTTACTGAGTGAATTGAGGCAGACCCTCAGCTTCATGGCTGAACCCATGCAAGGACTCTGTGTAGCATCAGATTCAGCTAGACAGGTGCCAGTTAGTTTGCCAGAAACCTCGGTCAGCCAAACAGCAGCACAAGCATTACTCAACCCTTATTTATATTTTATTTGAACATAAGTGAAACTGACTAGACAAAGGGTAGGATTTGAGTTCTTACAGCAATGGTTATGAAGAGTTCTATCATCTGGGATATAACACAATATAGCCAGTCCACTGAAGGTTGACCAATGCTTCGGAGGAACATGTGGCCTCCATCTTCAGGGTCAAACACTAGGCTAAGCATGAAACCAACGTGAAAGTAGGTCTGCTTGCCACCTGCTTTCACACTGGTTTGTCTTATCTTTCGACCCCGAAGATGGAAGCGATATGTTCCTCTGAAAAGTTGGTTGACCTTCAACAGACTACATGATGTTATATCCCAGAAGACAGAGCTCCTGATTAGACAGAAATTCATAACAGGGCAAGAGTCCACGCCACGATAAAACCGAATTGCAACAAACTTCAGGATATCAACATTTTTAGGTTTTGTTATATCGTCTTAAGAGCCCCACAGCTAGTAGGGATGTAATGGACGAAAAGTCTGTAGCTCCTATCATGAATTGAATTAACAATTCCTTGGGCCCTCTAGCCCATATAGTCTGTCACTAAACTGACTGAGCTATCCTGGCTCCTGCAACTAAATGTGAAAAGGCAGAAAATGTGCATTTAAAAGTGAACTGTTATAGCTTTTAAGGAGAAATAAATTTATAAATCAGTCTTTCCTGCACCATTTCCAAAAGATGCAATGTAGCAAGTATGATTCTTGCTTTATAGTTTCGGGGGCAGCAGAGTTTGATGTTGACCAGGATGCAGTGTAGCAAGTATGATTTTTGCTTTATAATTTTGGGGCAGCAGAGTTCTATCTTGACCAGGATGCAGTGTAGCGAGTATGATTCTTGCTTTAGAGTTTAGTGGCAGCAGAGTTTCATCTTGACCAGGATGCAGTGTAGCAAGTATGATTCTTGCTTTATAGTTTGGGGGCAGCAGAATTTGATCTTGACCAGAACACCAACTGTCCTCAGGATAAGCCTAATTTGCCTCAGATTTCTCAGGCATGTTCTAGGATGTACAGACTAACAAGGCCCTGTGCAATACCCTTCCAAATTCTACATTAAGAAATTCAAAGTGACCAGGTTGGCACAGTTGTAATGCTCTTCTTGAGTTGTGTTTGGGAACTGTTTGATTTTAATCTCAGCTGAGACACCAGTTACCCTGACATACTTAATGGTTCATTTCAGTCCCTCCAGGTAAATGCTGGATAATGCTTCAATTAGGCTATGCCTGCGTCATTCCAGATCATTACTCATTTATCAATATATATGAGACAAACTCGGTCTTAAGTGCAACAATTTTATTGTAGTTCTTTCTTCTTCCCTTCCTCCACACTACATGTTTCGGCCCTAAATGGCCGTCACCAGGTGTGTATTCTTACGTAGCTGCTACGCTGCCCGTAGTTTAAAATTTAAAATCACCAGTCTTTCCAATTGTATGTATGTATAAAATCTTTGTTAACCTACACGCGTCAATTTGATTTCTAAAATTGGCACTTTTTTAAAACTTCAATTCAAATTAAAATGTCTCTAAATTTTCTGTTCTTTTTCTTTTTCTAAATTTTTAAAAGTTAAAAATTTTCTCAGGGTACACGCTCTATGTCTATAGTGCTGCAGCGGTTACTTCTTGTTTTATCCCTGTTCAGATATTGTTCTGTGTAGGCTCTCTCTGTGTGTGTGTCGCTGCTACGGGCAGTGTAGCAGCTACGTAAGAATACACACCTGATGATGGCCATTTAGGGCCGAAACATGTAGTGTGGAGGAAGGGAAGAAGAAAGAACTACAATAAAATTGTTGCACTTAAGATGGAGTTTGTCTCATATATATAGTGTGAGTGTAACAGGATGCTTAAATATAATATTGTACTAATTTATCACCTATCCATTCGAACTACTGAAAGCATAACACCAGAGATAAACAAAGAAATTCGAAGAAGTTAATGAAATATATATATAGTGTAAGAATTCTAGCATGTTCATTCTCTTAATACCTCTACATTTTCAAATTGTAAAGCGCTCCAGTAGGAAATTTGATCAAAATCAGTCCAATTGGTCTCCAGTCATAAGATGAGAAAGCATAAAAACCCTTTTTAAACTACTTTTCCTTATTTCAAAAAAATAAGGGGCTTATGATATCTTCATGCTGTCTGTGTGTCCCCCCCTCCACCAACTCTTGAATGCCTGAAGCAATATATATATGAAACTTAGCATGCATATCATGACACCCAAGCTCTTCTCAATGGCATACTTCGTAAATCCCTCCCATCAGCCTATCTCTCTGCACGTCACTGCTAAGCAATGATCAGTAAATATGTTACCACAGCAACAACAACAGAGGAATTGTTGGACACATCGTTTTCCATGCCATCCATGTCATATAGAAGGAAAGTAGGTTATTAGTTCTTTCCAGAATTTCTTGTTTAATTATTTAAAAAACTAGTGAGACATATGCAAAAGTTGTACTGAACATAAAATGTGTGTTAACTTTTTCTCTACAACCTTTATTTGAAACATTTTTCATTCCAATAATATTTAGTGAGTCAGACTTGACTTTTTGCCCATAGGTCTCAGTAAGAAGGCTATACATAGCACTGGATGGTAGGATGACAGATTGGAAGAGATCCTGAAGGGAAGGGTTATGGCCTAACTGAGGTACTATACCAGCTCTTTCCTAGAAGGATTGGGGAAAACCATGAAATACCTCAGTCAGGATAGTCTGTGTTCCAGCCGAGATACAAACAGAGCACTCCCAGATACAAGTCTAGAGCATTACCTCTGGACCTACCTGTTCAGTTACTCCTAGATACATGCAAACATACAGACAGGTCTCTTCATTTAAAATGTCTGTTACTGTTACAATTAACTACACCTGGAATGCATCATTATAGTTCAGTGCAGCTGCAAAATCTGTTCAGCAGCTGGGCATTCTATCAACTTTCATTGTGAACAATATGAAAATTCTCAGGCTAATCAGTCTCCAGGGTTAAATTTGAGTCAGGCCCCATACAAATACAAAGCACAGTTTTTGATAACCACAACACAATGTTATAGGTGTGACTGGTAGCAGATATGGCAAAGATGATGATAATGTTGAGAGCCGACAAATATCATTACTTCCTCATAATAAGAAATCAGTCTTATCTGTTTATCTGTTCAATCATCAGTATTGGATTTTTCCAAAACCCTTGATAATTCTTTAAGTGTGAAAATAATGCCTTTCTCTTAGTGATCAATGTGTCTTTGTCATCAAGCAGTCGGGTAGTTAGGCCACTTTTTGACTCATCCTGTTATCTGTCTAGCAGCATCTTCAAAAGATTTTCCAGTTTTTTGATTCATGTGATCTGCAGTACTTTAATAGTTTGACGTCTGTTCCTTTCTATTCTGTCAATATGTTGCAACCACGTGTTTTATATTTCAAAACTTTGCCCATTATCAGTTTTGTTCTTAAGTCTTTTTATTTACTCATTCATCTTGTAAATTTCACTTCTGTAGCTCTAATTTTAGTTGTGTCTCTTGCTTTGATCTGCTCTCATATAATGTGCCAGTAAAGCAGGAGACTCATGCAGCTGCATATTCAAGTGCTTTTCTGTATTTCTGATGGCACAAGAGCTGTGCTGATGGGGCCTGTTGCTTTCAAAAAGTTAGAAATTTTAGATGATACAGTATAAAATTTTACCCTTCATATGAGTCAGTATCCTTGTGAATGTGCTCACTTGCTGTACAATTTCACTGTCCGCTTTCTTCAAAACATCCTTTGATTCATCACTATCCTAACATTTGACGCCTTAAAATCTTAGAAATTGAATGTGTCATTGAGTAAACAACAAACTGTGATTTCAGCCTGCAAGCGAACTATACCGACCGAGCAACTGGCGCTTGTCAGTGAAGTTAGTGCGACTTTAACGGATAGAATGTGTCGCGTGGTCAGAGCAACAAATCCCCATGGTCGTTAATCTCGGTTTTCTTGACCGCAGCCGCCATTTCCTTGAAATAGCTTCTCAATTATCCTCATGAGGCTGAGTGGACCCCGTTCCAGACCCACTACTTCTCAGAAAATCTGGTAGCACCAAGAATCGAACCTGGACCTCTGAATCTGTAGCTAAAATTCTGACTACTAGACCACAGAGGCAGTCATCATTGACTAAACCAGTATTAAGTAAATAAATAAAATAAACTTTCTAGTTTAAGTTCAATGTTCAGTCCTCCTGGACTTGTATTGTATTGTATTGTATTGTATTGTATTGCAACAAAAGTGATGGTTATCGTGATTTATCAAAATTTCATCACAACTCATCAGGCAACCACAGGATCCATTTTGCTGAATCATCTGACTTGTGCATTCCAGATTGATATAACTTACATTATATGCAGTTCTACCAACTGTTAGGGGTTCAATCTATTTATTTTTGGGCGGTTCTTAGTCTGAATCTTGGCTGGGAGACTTGAGGTGGTACCTGTCACTCCCTGCAGGAAAATGTTGGGATAGTACGTAAATTAGGCAATGACCACTTCTGTATGGATCCCTTCGAAATTCATTATTCACTAATCATATTATCCGATATTACACAGTTAGTGATGCTGACAATTCCATAAAAAAACCACAAGAAAATCCACCTACCAGACACAAGATATCTAGAATCAGGGGTGATGTCAAAATACATCCGCTGGTTGGTAGTGACATTACGCTGGACAGAGAAGAGAACGGTCCCTGGATTGCGTATGTCCCAGCAGATGATATCAGAGTCCTTGCGCCCGCCACTCACTAGCTTGGTGCCATCTGGTGAAAACTGTATGTGTGTTATTCCACCAGTGTGGCCCAGAAGAAGACAAAGAGGTGTCCCAATTGGTTCCACGTACACACCTAGCACAGAACAAAACACCACCAAACTAACTGCTTTATGTCAATTTATGTACAATCTGTTCTGATACAACAATGACTTTGTAACGAAACAAAATACAAGCTCATAACAGCGATTCTAAGCATTAATGTCTTTTGAGGGATATGACATGTAACCTGGCAGATGGTTAGCACTGTTTCAGGAGAACCAGCTGCCTCCATCTTCAAGCTAGAACAGTAAGCTGAGTATAAAACAATACAGTTGCAGGAGGCAGCAAATATAACCACCCTTCTTGCAGTATGAATAACAAACTACCAACCTGGCAGATGTACCCTTTAGCTAGATGATGACACCTGCCCTCAAGCTGTATGCTCACTTCCACCTGTGATCTGAGCAACTGTACTGAATTTTATTCATAATAAGTGATGTAGGTTCATGAGGGAGTTTTGATACCGGAACATTTCACTGTATAATTTGTTGCTTTTATGAGCATTTTAGTTTTTGTACATAATTTACTAAACTTCTAAACTGTGCAACACCTGTGCTCAAAATCTAAGGGGTGCCCAGTCACCTTCTTCCCATACATTCTGCTGCCAGTAGAACTAGTCTTGTGATTTTGTGCTAATTCATATATATATATATATATTGTACATAGTACATATAAAGGCCAACATCCTTCTGATTATTTAAGCACCAAGCCAGGAAGACATGGGCAAGTGGAGGTACAGCTTCATGCATTCTTAACCTCAGCACTAGAAGGGGGTGAGTGGTCAGCTTCATGTCCTAGCTGCTTTACCCCTGGGAAACAAGCCCCCAATACCAATTGGATGGGAGGGTGGGTGCGACCCAGAGCCAGTCAGGATGCTGTGGAGAAGAGAAAAGTTTTTTGCTCCTACAGGAATGGAACCATGATTTCTTGATCATCAAGCCCATAGACTAGTCACTATAGTGACTGAGCTATCCCATTCGAGCATGTCAGCCATGAGCAATCTGTAGTTACACTGATTTCAAGAGAACCATCTAATGCAAAACGCTCTTTAATAGAGAAATGATTACATTGCCCTACATGCTTCTGCCTCTATGCTATTTTATTTGAAGTTCAACTAATTAATACAAGGCATCTTAACAACCTGATTACCAGTCTGTTGTTTAATTTGCTCTGCTCCTAAACACAGGTGACCTTGAATTGACAGAGAAGCTGTTTGCTATCTGTGACATGTTCATAGTTTTTAGTGTCACTATTATTCAGATACCAATGTCAATCTTATCAGAAAACAAATATCTGAAAGCCATGTCAATAGAAATCACTCTTACTGGCATGAAACAGATATGCTTCAGATTATGAAGATAAAGAGTAGCACATGTGCACTGCATCACTGCACCAATACACAATGCATGCGCTGCAGACTCTCCTTACAGATCAGAGTAATCAAAATTGCATTCATGAAGAGCACAAAATAAAGTTGAAGGATTTGGTCTTTGGGGTTGTAACGCCGTGTAGATTTGAGATGACCCAATGTTTTGGAGTAACACGTTACCTCTATCTTCAGGGTCCTAGAGCAAGCTAAGCAAAAAACCGACAGAAGCAGCTGGGAAGATGCTTGTTGTCTGCTTAATGGTGGTTTCTTTCCTGACTTATCCTGTTAATATCTTAATTCCTTTCATATTAAAAATCTATGTCACAATACCAAACAGTATCTTATCAAATTAGAAATAACAGATTTCAGTTGCAAACACTTTTTCTGTACCTTTGCTGCACAACTTTACGACATCCCTGATCAAAGGTTGCATAAAGATACATTACTTTGAGGTTACAAAGTACATTAACAGTGGATAAATGGAATCTGACAAGTCTCTTCACAGATAATCACAATAATATTTTTAATTCCTTTGGCAGTTTTCTGAAAGCAATCTGTGTTCATCGCTGTTACCTTTGGAATGAATGGTACAGATTTTATGAAACTGTACAAAGATCATGCCAATGGAAGTCACTGCATGTAGTTATATGGAGAAAATTATGAAATATCAAAATTTCACAATCTGTAGCCCTTACTTAACCACAGAATATTGTGGTCAAGAAGTTAAAACTTCTACTTTGAAACTAAATTAACAAAAACTGGTTGTATGATAATAAAAAGTATGAATTTTGGGTTGCTTCCAGTGGCATAACATTCTCAGCAAATTCTGTTAAATTCACCCTATGGTGCTCAAGTTGAAATATGGATCGATGGCCAGACAGACAGACAGACAGACAGACATGACCATCAGATTTCCCTCTGTGCATTCTTTTCTTGTATGCTGTGAGAAGAATGTATAATAATCCAAATGAAACAAAACTGATGATCATTGAACAGGCTGGTGTAGTGATAATGCCCAAAACATGTCATGTTAATGTTAAATGGCGAATAAACAATTGTTGCATTGTTGATGGACTGTGGATACATAGACGTTTAACTCAATACTTGTGTTTGGGTGGTCATCAGTTTCTGACCTCAGCTAGGACACTGGCTATCCCGACTGATATTTTTCATGATTTCCCTCAGTCCCTCCATGCATATGCCAGGGTTATATTTTGCTTTTGCCTGTGGTTCTGTATGGGTGTGAAACTTGGTCTCTGACATTAAGGGAGGAAATATACTGAGGGTGTTTGAGAACAGGGTGTTGAGGAGAATATTTGGACTGAAAAGAGATGAAGTGAGAGGAGGCTGGAGAAAACTGCATAATGAGGAGCTTCATAACTTGTACTCTTCTCCAAGTATAATTAGAATGATCAAGCCAAGGAGGATGAGGTGAGCAGGGCATGTAGCACAAATGGGAGCAAAGAGGAATGCATGTAGGATATTGGTAGGAAAGCCAGAAGGAAAGAGATCACTTGGAAGACCAAGGCGTAGGTGGGTGGGCAATATTAAAAATGGATCTTATAGAGATAGGATGGGATGGTATGGATTGGGTAGGGACCAGTGGAGGGCTCCTGTGACCACAGTAATGAACCTTTGGCTTCTACCCATTTTAATATTGTCCCCCACCTACATCTTGGTCTTCCCAGTGGTCTATGTTGTTCTGGCTTTCCCACCAATATTCTGTACACATTCCTCTTCTCCAACATTCATGCTGCATGCCCTGCCCATCTCATCCTCCTTGTCTTGATCATTCTAATTATACTTGGAGAAGAGTACAATTTATGAAGCTCCTCATTATGCAGTTCTCTCCAACCTCCTGTCACTTCATCTCTCTTTGGTCCAAATATTCTCAACACCCTGTTCTCAAACACCCTCAGTCTATGTTCCTCCCTTAATCCAACTTCTTATCACAGTTCTAAATACTTGTGATACAAAAGACAACCTTATCCACCTGTGAATAATATGTAGGTTATCAAAGTGGTTCCTTATCTTACCTGCTTGTTATAAGTGATAAAAGTTCAACGTACTATTCAGGTGTCAGGTAATTTTAGGTTACTCAGCAGCAAGATAATGCTCAGTCATCATCATCATCATCATCATCATCATCATCGTCAAGGGTAAGCGAGAGGCTGTACTGCATGTCACTGCAAAATGGTGTATCAGAAAATGATGGAGCAATGATGATCTTCATAGTTTTCTTCTGCCTCTTCTGATACATGCCAATATAATGCCTTAAAATGGAACACAGCCACTGCTTCCCACTCTTCAGGATTCATCTTTCAACATCGTAAAAAAAACCCCACGGCCTGTAGTCAGCAAGTGAACTATATCGACTTTGACTGCTGCTTGTCGGCGAAGTTAGTGCCAACTTTTGCGGATAGAGGGTGTCACATGGTCACCGCAATGGATCCCCACTACCATTAATCTTGGTTTTCTAGACCAGAGCCACTATTTCCTTGAAATAGAGCTCCTCAATTATCCTTACAAGGCTGAGTGAGTCCCGTTACAGACCCACTACTTCTCAGAAAATCTGGTAGCGCCGAGAATCGACCCCGGGACCTCTGGATCTGTAACGAGGAACTCTGACCACTAGACCACACAGGCGGTCTCAATGTCATAAAAGGTAAAGGTAAAGGTAAAGGTATTCCTGTGTTAATTAAGCACCACACCATAAAAACACTTGATGATGATGAAATCCCAAAAGAAGACATAAATAGCTGTAAATACTAGATGAATGCATGCTGAACATTCAATGGGAAGATATACTTGTATGTCAACTGCCATCTCTAGCTACAGTTTCCACAGATAACCCTTCCACCGACCGTGTTAAACATTTTAGCCTTTCAGTGACACTCTGAAATCACAATTTCATTTAATGTGCACACCATGAACCAAAGAATTCTGGAAATACAGTGTGACAGAACAAGCAAAATAATAAGTATCCGGAGATACCTCATTGTCAAAGGTCATCTGTGTCATACAGACTCTAACATTGTCCTTTCTTGCTTCTTTTTCTGCTTCTATCATAAGGTTAGTTTTCCATTTAATCTCCATGGTAACAGCCATGATGAAGTGACAAATATTATGATAAAAGCTGCCCTACTTAATACTGATTAAACACACACAAATAACACACATGAAGCAGCCATTCAAAACAAAGATACACCTCAACTGATAAGCCAAGATGAAGTGTCTAAAATCTTTATTTTTCCTTTCTAGGAATTTCAGAAATGTATGATTACTTCTTTGTATCATGAATGTCATTATATCACTGCAACAATTCATAATGACTTTTATAAAATTTCACATGAGAATCTTATTAACTCTTTAAAGTGGGCCGCACCATAGCTCACATGGTTAGTCGCTGGCTTCCCACCACGGCAGCCTGGGTTCGATCCCGGGTCTGGTCAAGTGGGATTTGTGGTGGACAAAGTGGCTCTGGGGCGGGTTTTCTCTGAGTACTTCGGTTTCCCCTGCCAATCTTCATTCCACCAAATTCTTCATCATCATAATCACCGGGGGCAGGCTACAATAGGACAATGGGTGGACCCAGTTGGACTCCGCCCCCGACTAAGCGAATTGAAAAAAAACTTTTAAAGTACTGTGGTAATTGTATGTACCACCTGCTTTAACAATAAAAATCTCTGTGTTCCACATATGTGCTGTGTATGATTCTCAGAATATATAGTGATTATTTCCCTCGATATTTTTAACCAGCTGGTGTTTGTTATGGAGAGGGGGTGTTGGAGTTGAGATTCTCGTAGCATGACCCTGAAGAGCGCCATCTTGTGGGATGTGAGGTGGCGCAGTCCAGTTCTGCCATGCTGCATCACATTACATCCTAGAAGATGGCGCTCTTCAGAGAACACGATGTTCTGTTTGAGGTGTGAACTGAATTTTTAAATATTACTTAGACGAACTTGAGGCTTAAAAGGATGGACATGCTAGGACACCATCTTGAAGTAGTTTAGTCACTGTCCCTTCAGACTTCAAATATATAGACCAATGAGGAAATGCATGATGGGATGACATGAAGACCACTGCCCTACCAAAAAACTGTGGGTGGTTGGTTTGAATCTCAGGCAGGGTACCTGCTATCCTCACTGAGGCTTTTTGTGTTTTTCCTCAGTCCCTCCTGGCAAATGCTTGACTAGGCCATGCCCACCTCCTTCCAAATCCTTTCCAATTAGTCCGTCAACCTGCCATTTCACTCTCTATAGTACAGATACCAACATCATCTACCCACCTCTGTGGCCACAGGGTCACTTACCCAAGGACTTGGTATAGCTCCCAGCCACATAAATATCAGGCATTGCTGGATTCACAGAGATGCATGATATAATCCCAGTTTGCCTCTGTGAGGGAAAAGGTGACACTGGAAGAAACAGAGAAGAATCATGTGTTAGACTAAAACTCGAAGCTCAAATATCATACTTGGAGATTATGAACTTCATAGCTCAGTCACTATAGTGGATGGACTGAAGGATCAGAGTTACATTTTTGGCAAAGGAATGAGATTTTTTCCTGTCTGTAAGGCCAAACTAGCTCTAGGGCCACTGAGCCTCATATTTAGTGGGTACAGGGGGGGCTGTTTCCTTGGAAGCCACATGGCCAGGGCATGAAGGCATGAAGCTGACCACTCATTTATATCTGGAACCAAGGTTATGAATGAGTGAAGTTGTAATTTTGCCACCCTGTAACTCTTTAAGATGTGGTGCTTAATTAAGAAGTGGGGAAACTTCATGTTATTTATTCAAGATGATTCCAAAACTTGTGCAAACAATCACATTTTGTAACAAAAATTAAATATATTATTTCTTTGGCCTGTGCCTAAACATTTCCTTAATTTTGTCTACTAAACCTAATGATACTTACTTTTGTCATGACACATGATTCACGTTTGTGCCAGATTAGAAAATTATGGGAAATCACACAAGTCTGCCAACTGAGGGAGTTTACTCAAGTTTACTGCTCAGTCCCCCTAGGCAATTCAGATTAGTGTTCCAAATTAGATCATGACTTCCTGCTCCCACATCCTTTCCAATTAATTATTAAACACTACGTGGTCTGAGCTGCTGAGAGCATAATTAAATAAACAATAAATAAACACACAAGTCTGTTCATTTTGACAATAGTAACCACTCTCTCCAACATGACTCATCATGTCCAAGCATACAGAAGAGAACACCTATGCTAAATAGTCTCGATACTGAAAGCATAATTGAATGAGAACATAAACGGCAACCACAGCAACCAAACACTGTGACATATATATATGGCCTTGAAACGTTTAAACACTGTGGCAATGTGAGCTCTAGGGGACTCACTGCAGGATCAAGATTATGGCCTTCTGGGATGTGATTCAGTAGGCACATGGGGGACAGCAGGCTCTATGGAAACACTGCTGCATATTTACAAAAGTACATGGTATCATATCCCTGAAGACTTCAGTCTTAACTAGGACTAAGGACAGAAATCCCATTTGCAGCAGGGATGTATTTTGTGTTTTCTTGTGTAGGAAGATGCTCTGTAATAGCTGATCCCCCATCTAAGGAATTCTCGCAATTAATGTAAAGGATTCACTATTTCGACAATAATTCTGAATACGAAAAGCCTGCGTGTAGAATCAATAATTCTAGAAATTCTATAAAATTAATGCCGGCTTTCATAATGTCAGCCCTGACGGAATCATGCAGCCTGCAAGTATCATTATTTTGTCACTGTATTTGAATGAGTACATTCACTGAGCAGGTTAATTAGGTGGAAATATATGAGTGTCTGATGTGTACTTTAGGACGGTCCCAATTTGAATCTCAGTCGGACAACAATCTATCCGACATGAGATTTTTGTTGTTTCCCTCAACACTCCAGTCAGACTCCATGATAATTCTTTCAATGACTTCACATCCTCCCCCTCCAACCAGGGGATGAAAGTCCTGCTGACAGGGGAATCTGGGGGTGGTGAATACTAATCTATAGGAAAGATGGGAGGGGTAGTGTTTTACATGCCCATTCTTACACTCATCAAAGCCTGCCTCAGTTGCACATTAAAGCTATCCCTGTAACAGACCATGGAGTCCCATAGGGTTGATACACTGAGGCTCCCACATTGTCTAGACCATCGGCTCATAGATGCTGGTGAGGTCAGCCTTATGCCGCGGCCACCCTTTAACCCCAGGAAGATTCCTGGTACTCATTTCTGTTAGAGGCTGAGTCAACCCCAAGGCCATAGTGCGGCTGGAAGGATCAGGTCAATTAAAAATTCCAGTGACCTCATCAGGAATTGAACCCGCGACCTTACAACTTGTAGCATAGTGCCTCAACCAACTATGCTACCGCATGCCATGTATATTGCTTCTCTAAACACAAATGTCAAACATCGTAACTGCATCATTACAATTATGTAGAGATAATGGAAAGGAATGAGGCAAAACATGTATGCTACTATGACCAGTATACAAGATAGAGAGATATGCTGGTCCAATGGGAAGCAACAGGGATGTGTCTGACATGAATCCTTATGCCTCTTTTGGCATACAGTAGGAGAATCATACACACTTGAATGCTGCAGCAGGAACATCTATGGTTGGAAAGGAATCACTGCATGCTGTAAGCAGGGTGTCATCAGACAAACCAAAAAATTGGAAACAAAGAAAAACACAACATGACATGTTGCTTTGACTTATATTTGAGAGCTATTAGGTTTGAATCTCAGCCACAGCACTGATTCTCCTGACTGAGGTTTCCTCAGTGCCTCCAGGCAGATTCTGGGATAGTATCTCTATTAGGCCACAAATGCTGAATCCTTTCCAGTTCATGTCATCCTGCCATATGATGTCACACAGACTAGCTAATGACAGCATCATAAACATAACAATGTAACTCACATTTCAAGTTCCTTGTTTCACACTGTCGTCCTGGAAGATCAGTGTTGAATATTCTTATGGTATTTTTAAAGCCACAATAGAGCTTCTCCCCGGATGGACTGAATGCCAGGCTGTGCGCTGCTTCGACTTCATCTACACTGCAACAGCAGGATAGGTGCTTCATTAGTGCTTCCATACAGCAAGCCACATTCAGTTCTGCTCGAAACTGGTTGTCCCACTTTATGCTCCGAGATGCTGGCAGAAGTTTACATTGAAAGCAATATTTCCAATGTCAATATCAGACCTATGAAGTTTTGTCTGCAATAAGTGAATATCAAGATTGAGCGACTAACTCACTGGAACTGAGTCCTTTTTTAGAAGCTAACAGTTGCTCGGCCACTCAGAAAATTCCCATCATTTTATGGAACCTGAAGGTACATTATCATCTTCACAAGAGCCTGCCACTGGTCCCTACCCAGTCTATATCCAATTCCATTTCTTTAAGACGCATTTTAATATTAACTTCCCATCTATGCCTAGGTCTTCCCCACCATCTACCTCCGTCAGGTTCTCCTATGAAAACTCTGTAGGCACTTCTCTCCCATGCATGCTGCATGTCCTTCCCATTGTATCATGCTTGGATTTATCGTTATAATAATATGTGATGGGGAATTAAAAACAATGATGTATGCAGAAAGAATGAAATTGGGAATTAATACATTTTCCACATCCCACTGGGAATACTCACGCATTGTATGCCCGATATGTGCACCGCAATTCACCAGTAAAAGCATCCCATAGGTGGATGGGGGAATCTTTAGCAGTGCTTACCAGGCTGAAACATAAACAGTGTGAACAAGAGATGTGAGGTTCTCACAGCAGTGACTATGAAGATGGCACTCTTCTGTGATGTGACCCCATGCAGTCTGGTAGATCATCACCCCCAGAAGACATTAATATTCGTATTTCATGCCATGAAAACCACAAATGTTGCAGAGTAAGGGAGTAGTCCAGTCTTCTACCCTGAAGACTGAGGCAGCAGATTCCATTGAACAGTTGGTAATGGTCTATCAGACTGCATGATGTCACATTCCAGAATAAAATAATTTTCAAAGACATCAAGTTCATTTCAGAGACTTGAACCATTTGAAGAACCAGCTGAGTTTACAAAACCTGTGTAATTAGATATGGTCATTATTGCTGCAGATTGTGATGCACCACCATGATTACGAGTCCTTGCATTGCGTAACCACCATATCTGGCATGACAAAAATGCTATTAGCATACTTATGTTATGAAGAGTTCTAGCTTCTGGGATATAGTCCCAGGTAGTCTGTTGGAAACCAACCAACATTTTGGACGAACATGTTGCCTTCATCTTCAGAGACAAAGAATAAGGCAAGCAGGTCATAGTGTTGCTGCTCACATTAGAATGCAGTAACATGCATGTCATAGACTGATCCCATGGCACTGACTTATTTAATGACAGTATGATCAAGTCAAGGAGGATGAGGTGGGCAGGACATGTAGCACGAAGGGGGGAGACAAGGAATGCATATAGGATATTGGTGGGAAAGCCAGAAGGAAAGAGATGACAGGGAAGACCAAGGCGTAGGTGGGTGGACAATATTAGAATGTATCTTAGAGAGATAGGATGGGATGGTATGGATTGGATNAAATTGGTGGCTCCTCCAGAAGCGCTCAGCTCCATGAGTGAGTGAGTGAGTGAGTGGGTAAGTAAGGTATCTTACCGTGAGGTTTCTTTCTGCAGATTTTATAATTTCTGCCATGCGCGTCTGACGTTTATTTGCCGACGCTGACTTGTGTAAGACGTTTCTCCTGTTCTAGGCAATGATATATTTGTGTGAAAGAAAAATATTCGGCGCAGGAAGCGAGTTNGGCTGGGAGTCTTCATTAGTTGTTATGCTTAAGTATTGTTAATTTTCCCCTGCTTTCCCCCGTATTCCTTTCCAGTCACATGTTATTGAATGATATGTCGAGACTGACATTTAATGCCATCTCCTATAAATAACATGCACAAACAGTCGATCACAAACTGTCTCCTTTATATAGCACACTGCATTTCACACAGCCACAAAAACATATTATCAGTTCTCACAGAATACACGGAAACAAAAGTCTGTTCGTTCATTCCAGACCCACTACATACCTTACGTTCGTACACTGTGTTAATGCTTGATGTTGCATTGCTGTGGGAACCTGAAGCTGCACAATGACAACGGAAAAATCTCACATTTACAACACTTTTATTTGTGTATACAGAAGGGTGTTTCCAGTAAGAGAGAAACAAATTAACAACCGAAGAATAGAGAATGTGACTGGAGAGAAATGTCACTGCTTATGAAATGTGTCATACTCTTACCAGCAGGAAAGTGGATTCCACGAAGACATGAGTGGGTACCAGCAATAATCGTACACAAGTCCCCCCTCTACCACACGCAGGGCTGGCTCTAGTTCAGGTAAAATCCTGCCTTTCTTCCAGGACTCCTGACAGTGCAAGTCTGGTGGAAGATCAAACACACGCAGCATGTTGTCATCACTGTTTGTAAGGATGCATGTGCCATCTGGTGACCTGCAATAAAAACATAGCTTCTATTACTAAATTTTTTACTTTATATTATTATTAATGTAAGTGATTTTGATTATGTGACTAATGTAATTTTGTATATGTATTTTGATAGATCTATTTTCAAAGGGGCCATTTCCACATCCTAGGTTTCTTACCTGTATGGATATATGGAAAATAATGGAAATGAATGAATGAATGAATGACTGAATGACTGAATGAATGTTACTTGTGTTAGCAGTGTACCTTAGTGTAGTGTCATCAAGAGCTCACAGAATTTATGCTGTAGTAGCCTGTATTGGTTCTGTTGAAGAAATATAATGTTCTATTAAAATTAAAACAGTGCAATGTAAAAAGTTAAATGCTCTAACACACATGAAATAATAAATGTATTGTATTACATTACTGAATTTTTAAGGGCCAATATTCCCTCCTTGCAGGTCCAAATTTGTTAAGGTTATCCTTTCCTCATGGGGAGGGGGGGGCAGTGTGCTACAAGCTGGAAGATCACGGGTTTGATTCCCAATGAGGTGGATTTTTTTTCCAATTTACCTAATCCTTCCAGCCACACTATGGTCCTGGGGTCGACTCAGCCTCTAACAGAAATGAGTACCAGAAATCTTCCCTGGGGGGTAAAGGGCGGCCGGCGTGCAAGGCTGACAACCTTACTGCCTTCTGTGAGCCGACTGTCTGGAGAAAATGTGGGAACCTCGACGTCTCACAATCCTATGGGACTTCATGGCCTGTTACAGGGATAGCTTTAGCTTTTCTTTCCTCATGGGAGCTGGGATAGCTCAGTCAGTGTTGTGATAGGCTATGGGCTGGGTGACTTGGGTTCAATTCCTGGCAGAGGCAGGAGATTCTTCTCAACTCCACAGTGTCCAGACTGACTCTGAGGCCCATCCAGACTTCTGTCTAGTCACCTCCATTTAGTGCCAAGGTTAAGAATGCTGGAAACATACCTCCACTCTGCCACAAGTCTCCATGGTGTGGTGCTTAATTAAACAAGGGGATGATTTTACCGTACCTCACCCATCCTCTCCTCAACTTTTTCATTTTCCACCCTACTCTGCCCTTTGAATCAGTCCCTGTGAGTAATGTTCTCTTTTCTTCCAGTCACTGCCCTTTCAAAAGGCAATTTGAGGGACCCCTGTTTCCTTACAGTTTCTCCTGACTCCCCTCTACCTCCGACTGGTTCGTTTAGAGCTCTGCCCTTAGAAAACAGCACTTTTAAGGACCAATATTCTTTATACTCTTCTTCTTACTAATGTTTGGTTCTCTCAAGGCTCCCTTCCAGTCCACCCTCCCCCTATATTGGTACCACCTCATTCTTTATTGGAGGCAGCAGGTTCCTCCAAAATGTTGGTAGCAAGCTACCAGTCATAGAAAACGTAAAGCTATCCCTGTAACAGGCTGTAGAGGCCCATAGGGTTATGAGATGTCGAGGTTCCCACATTTTCTCCAGACAGTCGGCTCACAGAAGGCAGTAAGGTTGTCAGCCTTGCATGCCAGCCACACTTTACCTCCAAGGAAAATTTCTGGCACTCATTTCTGTTAGAGGCCGAGTTGATCCTAGGACCATAGTGCGGCTGGAAGGATTAGGTCAATTGAAAAGAATCCAATGACCTCATCGGGACTTGAACCTATGACCTTCTGGCTTGTAGCATAGTGCTTCAACCAACTACGCTACCGCGTGCCTGCTACGTCATATCCAGAGGAAAATAATCTTTCAGTGGAGATGCTGAACCTGTTTTGGACTGATGGTGCTGTGTGGAAGAGGGCTATGTTGCCACTGTTTCAAAGGAACCTGATGCCTCCGTCATCAAGGTATCTTGGTGCCTCAGCACATTCCTCTGAAACAGTAGCAACACAGTTCTACACAGAGTCATCAGCCCAAAAGAGACTGAACAGTGACATAAAGTACATAAAAGTCAACTGATCTGATACCATCAGAATAAACTGAACATTACTGGCATGGTGGGGGGATGGAACATAATATTATACCACTTTGTTCATTATGATACTTCATATACTAAACTGTACTAAGACTATTCAGTCAATGAGACTGAATTACATCAGTTAATGTTACAAACACACAATCATTGTGTTCTTGTTTTGAATTTCTCAATTTGTAAATGCTTTTCTGAGAACATGGGACAATAAACTCAACATAGCAGTCACCTTCACTATAGAGCAAAACCACCTATAATTTTAAATATACCTACCATTTACATCCCTTCATGCAAATGTCCTCAGTCTTCTTGAACTCCTTCCAAGCACTAGTTATTTGAATGCCATTTTCAAATTTATATTCTTGTAAAGAATAGGTAATTTCTTGATCAATCTCTGCAGAAGTGGTTTCTTGCAGAGTCGCATCTGCAAACTGCATTTCTTTAGTCCTTGAAGTTTTATCAAAATATTTAATTTGTCCCACTGTCTGAGAGTCTGTGTCCTTGTCTCCTTCTTCAATGGGCATATTTGTTATTAGGGTTTCTCCTTGAACACACTTGACTTCTGCATTTGGGTCTATCTCATTATGCTCATTACCATTTCCATGCAGAAGCTCTGACCTCGTGTTAGTTTCTTCACCATGCTTAAATGAACTACCACTTACATTTAATGTCATCTGAACATCATACATCTGTATGCTACTAACCAGCTGCTCAGCTCGAATGTTAGAATCTGATGATTCTAACTGCATAGGCTCAGCACTGCGTTCGGCACACTGTATAGCACTAGTGCACGAATTCGCTTCATTAAATTCAGGATCTTCCATGATTTATCAATGAATCCAAAAGCGTTTAATTATACGAACTTAACCTTAAACACAACATAACCTTTATTATTATTATTATTATTATTATTATTATTATTATTATTATTATTGTTGTTGTTGGGGGTGCGCGGTAGCNTCGCAAAATTAATTTCAATGACTCTGTCGTGATATATATTTCATAACACGTTATTTTCGGCACAATAACGAAAACCAGCATTCACATTCAAACTCAACCGCACATTCATCGATATTTTCCACGCACGTTTCACGCGCGAAATTCAAATTAATTGCCCGTGTTGTTAATTCACTCCTGGAATCGAAACAGAAAGTGTCTCTGAATATGTGCAGTTTGGTTCAAATTCGGTACTTGATTTGTAGCTCAGAAATGATGATTAATATTTTAGTAGAAGGTTTTCATGGTTTTTTCATCCTTTTTCTCTCAGCTTAAAATGTCCATGACCCATTTTCTTCCTTTGCTTTTCCTATAATTGTGGCATCATTCTTTGCCGCTCTGTACTGTAATCATTGCCTTACTAGGTATAATGAACAGACCATTTATCCATTCCTTCTGGACATAAATCTGGTAACTAAAGTATTATACTTAAGGTTCATAAATTTCAGAATTAATGTCAAGCCCTCTTTGGGCTACACTGCAGTTGGTTGACTGGACAAGTGAATTAATCCCTTAAAAGTACAGAGGCTGTTATGTGCACCGCCTCCTTTAACATTAATAAAATACACTGAATTTTCTCCTTACAGTTTGTTTATATTTACACACAATTCTCAGAACAAACATTGATACATCCCTAAACAGTGTTAACTGGGTTTTCCTTGCAGTGAGGACATAAATTTCTGTGATATAGGAACAGGATTTTTATGTGTTATTCACACACATTTCATGCTTCAGAGGCTCAATGCCAAAATTCAGATGCAGGGCAGATGCCGACAAATTTTTAAAGACTATAATATTTTAACATTGGCAGTGCTATACATTTTTGAAGTGATATGTTTTATTAAAAATGTAAAGACTTTATGGCAAAAAATGTCAGCATCCATAATTACAACACGCGAAGAAAACTAAATGTACATGTAAATCATTGCAATACAGTTCTTTTTTAAAAAATAGCGTTATAAATATGTGTATTGCCTTGTATAATAAGGTCCCTGAGCAGATAAAATTAAAACATATTTTAACTCTTTTAAGAGGAACTTAAAATCCTTGCTGTTGAAACATTCCACTTATTCTGTTGATGAATTTATGTCCCTAAAATTCTGAAGTGAGTGTGTTATGGTTTTATGTTGTGACAAATATCTTGTCCTCACTTAAACAATAAAAGAAAATGTTGGATGTTGAGTCTCTCTTGGTTACTGAACTGTTGAAAGTGGGACGATGCATTGTATGATTGAATTGTATGAAATCTGTAGATAATTAAGTTTCATAGTATGTTTGGCTCATATACGATATGTATGTTATATTAATATGTAGTAATTGACTTGTTCTATATCCGGAGGTTTTATCTCTAGATATGGATTTTCAGAACAAATAAATTGATATGTAATATTTGAGGCTTTCACGGCGGTGACTATGAAGAAAGCAGTCTTCTGGGATTTGGCACCGTGTATATGTGGTGTTAACCGACGTTTCGGAGGAACGTATCGCCTCCATCTTCAGGGTAGAAGGAAAAATATAAGAAATCCGCAAGCGAAGAGACCGTTCGCACTCTTCTTCTCACTGCAGCACAAGCTAAGTCTTCCATGTCTTTACCAGTCGTTGCCTGGTAACGAATCCCAACATCCTCTGCGTACGTCCTTACTGGCTGGCGTCTGCCTCACAGTTAAAGAACTAAACTGTTGACTTTCAATTAAACTGACGGTTGGTCTATTACATTTCTGCTCCCCTTCGCCAACACAGTCATTCTTGATTTCAGGTCTCGTCGAGATGTGTGACCAAGATTTTTGTTCTGTCCTAGACACATAGGACAGAAGAGAAATCGGAGCGAACTGCAGAGAAAACGGCTTGGATCGCGTAAAAAACACCGTGTCAAAATCGTTATTTACGGGCCGTTGCGTAGGAACGGAATTTTGTTCAATGACGTCATGACGTATTTACGGCCCTTTTGCCTAGCAACGGATGACGCCACTTGTTAAGCTATTCGATTATGTCACAATACTTACAAATTTGATTCTTACGTAGAGGAAAAAATATTGTGCTTCCATTACAAAGACCAGCAATTTAATGTTGTTTTGGGAAAAGGTCATTGATTATTGTCAAAGTCGTACGAAGCTCATAAATACATTCTGCGAATAAAAAGCAAAGACTTTATGTATGCCCGAAAACTGTGGAGCGCCCATTAATTTTGTTACGCACATCCTGCCTTCCACACGCGTCGGTGAACTCAAGAACCGCTGAATGGATTTATGTATATATCATTTGATGCTGGAGAAGTCTGCTAAAAATAGTCGAAACATTAACATTTTAGTTAAAATCGGACAGAGATAATGGACACTTAACATGAAGACTTGCATTTTATTCTGCGTATATCTGTTAATTTTATCCGAGACAAAAATCATTTAAACATGAAATGAAAAATAGAGTGAATTTTATATTCAGCACACACTTTCTCAGGTGTTGTGATTTCTGAAATACTCAAACCAAAGAGATGGTATGCTCACATTACCGAACTTGCCTGCTCAGCAAACAATAGTCTCCCAAACACGGCCAAAGATTACCGGACTCTCATTCTCGACAGTAATGAAATTATGATTTCTCCCACCTGCATTAACAGGTCTGCATTAATATAGATATATATCTAATTAATATATAATTAATCTGCAAGAGGCGAAGCCTTTTATTCTCGATCAAAGTAGGTGAATCCAAAAGAAATCAAATGCTGCTAGGGAAAGGATCGAAATTGAAAAGTAACAGAAGAAACTTTACAATTGAATTGAATTGAATTGAATTGAATCGAATTGTTTACTTATTTAGTATAATCCTATAACTTCGATTCTTTTTAATGCAAATAAGGATCAATTAACACTGAGGAATTTAGGCGTTTCTACCGTCACACAACAAACGTGGGTTTTGATTAGTGCGTGCTAAAACGATTGAAAACAAACAGAATAATAAGTCAGTTTATTATACTAATCACAGTACATTTTTCGGTCTAACTGACCATCATCAGGTGTATATGAATACTTCCATAAATATATTTCATTATTGATATTTATATTTGATTTCAATCGTTTCATTATACGACAATCAAAACCCACATTTGTTGTGTGACGGTACAAAACTCTAGAATGTTGCAGGTTGCAAAGCGTAGCTCAGGATAGGGACCAGTGGGGGCTCTTGTGAACACGGTAGTGAATTCTTCGGGTTCCATAGAATGCCGGGAAATTCTTGAGTAGCTGCAGATTTGGTTACTCTTCAAGAAGGGCTCAGTACCTTAAGTAAGTAAGGCGAATAAGGATATGATGAAAATTCGGTATATTTGAAATAAAAGTAACAAGATTTTCTCCCCCCCCCAAAAAAAAGTTCTTTACAAAAGCACTATACCTTTTTCCCGCGGTTAGAAACAAAGAAGCCCAGTTAGATAAGTCGTGAAGTGCATGCCGGCATATAATGATTATCACCTGCCTGATCATTTGGTATAATGAATTAAATTGAATCAGACACTTGTCTTCACTGTATTTTTGCTAGATATGCTATCTGTTTATCACAGATAGTAGCAATTCAAGAGCTGTCAACTAGTGGCTGTGCTCCACAAGCGGATTCACAGAATCGCCTGAATAAGATATGGAAAACCACTGCTGTTATCGCACCCCATGCTGAGCAAGCCCACACCATGTAGAAACAGTCAAACTGAGATATGTAAGATTTGAGTTTTCCACGGCGGTGACTATGAAGAAAGCAGTCTTCTGGGATTTGGCACCGTGTATATGTGGTGTTAACCGACGTTTCGGAGGAACGTATCGCCTCCATCTTCAGGGTAGAAGGAAAAATATAAGAAATCCGCAGGCGAAGAGACCGTGAGAACCGGTTAACACCACATATACATGGTGCCAAATTCCAGAAGACTGCTTTCTTCAAACTGAGATATGATCAGTGACTACCAAAATTTGTGAACGTGTATTTAGAGGGCGCCAAGGAACAGCCTGCCTCACATTTTCTCATTTCTTGAAGAAAGCAAGATCAGAGTGGTGCTTTCCACAAAGTAGTTGCTAGAGTTCTCAATGGGATTCTTCGCAATTTATGAAGTTTAGTTTCAGTTCGTTTATCTATTTATGCTTTAAGCAAAAAAAGGGTAATAGGTAAAGTTATCCCAGTAAGAGGCCGTGAAGACCCACAGGGTTGTGAGACATCGAGGCTCCCACATTTTCTCTATACAATCTGCTCACAGATGACGGTAAGTTTGTCACTCACACGCGCCAGTTGTCGTTTACCCTCCAGGAAGATTACTGGTCCTCATTTCTGTTAGAGGCTGAGTGGACCCTAGGGCCATTGTGCAACTGGAAGTATGAGGTAAATTGAAAAAATCAACTTCATCGGGACTCTAACCCTCGAACTTCTGTGTAGCACAGTGCTTCAACCAACTACGCTACCGCGTGGCGGCCGCTGACCGCCATCTGTGAGACGATTGTTTATATTTTAAACAAAGCCAAATTAATTATGGACCAGTATGGCTTAAAATCAGAATTGCCCTAAAACACAGTAAATGTCTCGCACATGTGATTTTTAAAATATCTACACTAAGGGAATCAGTGTCTTCTTGAATGTGTCTTCATGTAGTATGGCTGAAACACTCTTCTACCCTCAAAACAGGGGAATCGCGTTCCTTCACAACTTTGGGAAACAACCATGCCATGCAGCTTCAATCCCAGAAGTTAGAATTCTTCACAGCCACAGCCCTGTAATATCAAATATTGCTGTGTACAGCTAAAGTTTGGCTGCTGATACCAAGTCACAGACAAATGGACAGACAAATACGACCACCACATTAGAATATTTTTTCCTATATACCGTGTGAAAATTTTTTAGGTGATTTCAGTGCTAGAATAGGTATGGAAGACATTTTAAAACCAACAACTGG